ATTCTATGTATTACTTTGATTGCTTTAGGAGAGGTAAAAAAAGTTTTGTCCTTATTAATATTTGGATTGCCTTTGAACTATTTCATATTCCTTCTTTCTCTCTTCCCTTCTTTCTCTTCCCATGTTTTCAACTTGACAGAAAAAAAAAGCAATTACTGCAAAAGAGCAAAGAGCTGAAGAATCTGAAACAACTGCTGCATCTTCCCCCACAAGTATTCTGCAATTCTGAGAAGATTTCAGGTGTGTCAGAGAAATATTTTTGTCTAGGACCAACTTTAGGTGAAATGTTATCCTATGGAAACCAGAAGAAGACATAGTACCTCCAAAATAATTCAGACGTAAATGTCCACTCATGTGCCAGGTTGAATCTTCATGGGATATATTCTGGATGGCCAGCCATCAGATTTTTCTGTCCTGATTAGGAATAGGCAAAGTGCCAACGTGAAAGTTGAGAGAAAGAGAGAAGAAATCAGTTTATATGTTTGATTCTAGTCATTTTGTTCCACATAACCTGGACACCCCCCCCACCCCACCCCCCAAAAAAATATCCTGATTTCCCTACTGGAAAAATGGATTAAAATGGCTTGTGAGGATGAAAACATCAGCTGGATACTTAATATTTTTATAGTAAGGGTTTGCAATGGGTCTTACCTGAATTGAGGTAGTCTCAAATGAAAGGAAATGGAGCTCACAGTGATGTATCTCATTGCCAACACCGCCACTGGCAGTTGGAAGTGCACTGATCAGCAGCAGAACCTTTGAGAGGGAAGGAGTAAATAAGGCATGCCTTGACTGTTTTAGCTATTGTGTAATATGATGTTGTATATGGAGTTATTACATAATGTCTGTTGGAAGCTTAATGATTACACGACATTTAGAAGATGCAGAATGTAACTTACTGTCTAAAGCAGCACTCTGAGCTTAAGATATGATCTTCAAACTCTATGCATTCATTGACTCTCTAAGAACTATTTTATGAATTAGAAGAAGAATGGATGGGGGATTGTTTACATAGGTACTAGCTGTTGCAGAACAGTAAAGCTATACTGGAAAGCTTACTCTCTGCCTATACACTCTGTTCTGGAATAAAAGCATACTTTGTGAGGGAATTCATCTTTAGTCTAAGTGTCTACCTAAGTGCTGTTCTGGAATAGCTCTTGCAGAATAACGTAATTTTCAAAAGCTCTGCCAGCCAGTTCCTCTATATAGACAACGATGCCCAGAAGTAGTATTTACGTACTTACATAAATAGCTGTATTTTTCAAGTGCTGACCGTGCAAACACTTCTACTGTGTGCTGATTATGGTTAGGGGCGGTAGGGTTTTTTGTTTCCTGATTTGGTGAGTACTAAAGATACCTACATATATTCTTAATTCCCAAGGGCAGAACATGGGGGATTTTTCAAAAGTACCTTGAAACACAGTGAGATTTTGCTCCAATCACTCTGTCATTTGAAAATCCACCATAAACAAGGCCCACAACGCTGGAATACAGCCAGTTCTTCCTTGTGATCCTAAGACCACCTAACATCCTGTTTCTATGCAATTATGTATCAACTGTTACCAAGGGTGAACTAAAACAGAAATTTATTTTCAAATATTACATCCAAGAGGATGAGACTACAGACCTGTAGAAATGTTTACATTCTAAAATGCACCTTTTCCAACCTTTTAAAATAGCAGATTAAGTTATGTGTATGACTCGAGTCTGATTTTTTTTTCTCCTGTGACTTTAGGCAAGTCACTTCTCTGCCAGCTTTCAGAAATGGATGTTATCTGACAGTTTTTGGCCATCCAATCTGAAAATATCTTGCTCCTTGTTTAGAAAGATATGTGTATATTACCCTAGAAAAAATAAAAGTGAACTATGTTAAACGGAATGCCTATAAAACCACTCCAGATTTTTAATTAATTCTTCACCAACTGTGTAATAATATACCATACCTTACGGATGGTAAATGTAATAGTTGATAAGGTTTGGAAGATAAAGTGATTAAAGACGAAGATCAACCATAGTTCAGCATTAAGTAGATACCAGGGAATATATGGATTTATGTCAGTCACTGTGGGTGCAGCCCTTGGGTTTCACTGAAGCTGCCAGTGCAGACCTTTGCCATGACGAACCTTGCTGTGCCATCTGCTTGTGTCTTATGTCCCTCTCCTGAGCAGCCTCTGTTGAAAGTAACCCATGTCTTTTGTCACTCTGACTTTTACCAGAGCAAGAGGAAGGAAAGATCACGAACGCGAGTGGGTGCGGACAGAAGGGAAGCAGAGCGCAAGAGCGCTAATTCAGGATGGCCGCTTAGGGCCCGTCTTGCCGCTGAAGTGGAAAACGCGCCGGCGTGGCTTGGCTTGGCCTCACCTACTCAGGGCGCAGAACCCCTGCCCCGGGGCCGCGTGTGCGAGCGAATAAAGGGCCGCGGCGCG